CGGTGGGGTCGACGGGGTGAGGCGGAGGAGGGGTGTGCTATTCAGTTGGTTGAGCATTTGTTGTTCGAAAGGGACTGCGAGGCAGCGGTCATGTTTCAATGAGTGTTTGAGACAATCGTGTTGGGGAGTCCTAACCAAACATACTCTCCCTGTCGTCCACACATCTGCCTGATCAAGCACCCCCTCTCTTCCTTGTTGCTGTCCCTTGGTTCCCCTAATCCTCGCCCCCTCGTCACCCCCCTCCGCCCCCAAGGGAGGTCGGCCGCCGCGCGGGCGCGCCAGTCCAGGAGTTCTGCGTGCGCAACGACATGCCCTGCGGCAGCACAATCGGACCCATCCTCGCGTCCAGCCTCGTGAGTCATCCGTTGACCTGTGACCCTTGACAGCCGCCTGCGGAGCCCTGAGCGCTTGTGGACGGCGCAGGGCTCGCCCCGGGTGTGGTGCTCGCTCGCGCCCTGCTCCTCTACACTCCGCGGCGTCTCCAGGGCCCGACCGCCTGATCGCCCCCGCCTCGCGCGCATCTGGTGTCCTCAAATACGCACCCCTTGCTTCCCAATGAAATCAGACAAGCACAAATCATGACACACGTGTTGTTTTCGTCGGTTTGGTGCCAAAACTGTCACTTTGAAAGCCACGCAGGATACCAACGGATGCTGCAAGGTCCCAAACATGTTTGACCGGGTCAGATCGTGACCGGGTCAAGTTTTGACCGGGTCAAAAGGCCGACTTTGCTGCGCCGCCTGCAACCGCTCCCCTCCCCCAGGGCTGCCGCACCGTGGACGTCGGCGTCCCGCAGCTGGCCATGCACTCGATCCGCGAGATGTGCGGCGTGGACGACATCGCCACCGCCTACCACCATTTCTTGGCCTTCTACAGGTGGGGTCGCCAGATTCAATTCCTTTCATTCTTATTATTTTTTGGCTTCGATTTGCAAAGTCGAAATCGCTTTGTCAAGGGGATCTGCAGGTCCACACTGGCGCTACCAAACGCGGCAAGCTGGATTAGAAGCATGCTGGTGCCCTCGGTCACTCGCGCGTGTGCGCGTGCTGTGCGTGGGACCAGCTCATTGATGACGGCTTGCGGGTCACGGGGCGAGGCGCCGCCAACCACTCACTCGCGCGTAACCCCGCCCTCCTGGGAATTGATACTTGAAACCCGCTAGCTATCACTCCGTGAAACCCTGGATTTTGAACCCCGGACCTCCTGCCTTTACTGCAATCCCATTCTTCAAACCCTGCAGGGACTTCTCGTCTCTGGATGCCACGCTTGATGTCGACAGCCTGCCGCCGCCAGACATCCGCGGCACGATTCGGGACCCCTCCTGCGGCCACGTGCACTGACCCGAGCACACTGCGCCCTTTTCGCGCCCCGCCGGCCGGGTACACGGCCCGCAAGCGCCGGCCCCTCGGGCCTTTTGCCGCCTCGGAGACGCGCGGCTTCTGGCCGGTGCTGCGCCGCCCGCTGCCGCGGCGGCACCTGTCTGGGGCCGCGGGGGTCGCTCCCGGCTGCCAGGTAGGGGGTGTGGCGGCTCGAGGGTCGCGCGACGGGCTGCCACATCAGCGACGCAGGGGCAACGTTGTCGCGGCTCAGGATGACTGTAGTGGGCAGACGGCGGGAGGCCTGTCCTTTTTACTCTCAATTGATCAGTAGAGTTACAAGTAGTATATCTGTAACTGTCGATTGTCTACGGGCTGCGCCTTGGCCAGCATTTGGCAGCCGAGCAACGGTGCTGGGGTGAGCGACAGCACCGCCCACGCCCTTGCTGACCAGGCGCGGCTCTTAGGATAGGGAGATGGGGTGATTCGTGACAGGTCTGTTTCCACGAGGGCGACTCTTGCAAAACAATCGGGGAAAAGCGGGAGCCACAGACGACAGGTCAGATCCTGCGGTGATCATCAACTGCACGAGATGGCACCGTTCGATCAATAAACGTGCACTTCAACATATCTCATTCCTTTGCATTACTAAGTAATAGGCGGTTTGCGGCCCATTGTCAAAGAGGCTGGCACCATGCTGCAACAGAGGGCCGCGGTCTCATTGCGGGCGAGCCACGGCGCTCCTCGGATCGCCAGCAATCCAGCATGCTCGGGCTGGCTGCCGCTGCGGCGGGCCAGCGGCAGCGCGGCGCTGCAGGTGCGACCGACCCCATCTCTGGTGCTTGAGTGAGTGCCTACGACAGCGGCGGCAGCGCCCGACTCGATCATGCCCGCCTCATTCACACCCTAGGCGTTTCAGTCGCACGCCGAGGCTGATCTGGCGCCCACACAGCGGCCGCGTCCGCTGCAAAACGCATCGGCTGCCTCGTTGGGCGTCACCGGCAGCAGCAGCAGCGGCAGCAGCAGCGGCAGCAGCAGCTTGAGCAGCAGCACCAGCAGCCTGGACGCTGGCGTGGCGGCGGCCAATGCAGGCGCTGGCACCAGCTTCAGCTGGCGGCAGGGTGCGGCGTTGGGCGCCGCTCTCGCGGCCGCCGGCGCCGTCGGCGGCGCGGTCATGGCGGGGCCAGCACTCGCCGGTGAGTTGGCTGCCGTGGCCAACACAGTGGCCGTCAAAATTCCCGGTGCGTGCCACGTCAGCGCAGGGGCGCTGCGGGCGGCGGGTTGACGGAGGGTGGGGCAAGGCGGGCGGAGGGACGGGCGCTTTGGCGGGATGGGTGCGGGCCCGCCCGAGCCCAGCGACTCGCCGGCTGCATCAGCTTAGACGTGGGCGAGGCTGTTGCGAGCATAGCCTGGCCCACGTTTGTCTTCGGGCCGGCTCTAGGGAGCGCTGCAGCCCAGCCGGCGCCTTCGTCGCTCGCACGCGCGCACCCGGCGGCCCGGCCCTCGAACCGCGGCTCCGCGCAGCGCAGCACTCGCCGGCCGGCTCGGTGGGGCCGCTCGGCCCCCAAGCAGCGGCGTCGCCCCAGCCCGCGGCGCGCTCGCACAGTCCCCTGCAAGACCTCTGTAAACGTAAACCATTTCAGGCCCGAGATGTGGCCACCATCACCTCTTTCAGCACAACAGTCGGGCGCGCTCGTCACCCCCCATCAGCCCCTGTCCCTTGTCGCCCGACGCGTCACCCGCCCCCACCCCGCCCAAATTCGAACGGTCTTTCAAACGCCCAGGCCTCATCGGGGACAACCAATTCGTGGAGGGCTTCGTATCCGGATTCCTCCTGATATTTTTCAGCGAGATTGGGGACAAGACGTTTTTCATAGCGCTGCTGCTGGCGCTCAAGGAGGACCGCAGCGCCGTGTTTGCGGGCACCTTTGGCGCGCTCGCGGTTATGACCGTCATCAGCGTGGCGCTCGGGCAGGTGATGACGCGTCAGGCCTTCGGCGCGCCCATGGCCGCCGGCGGCCGGCGGGCGGGGCTTATGGCGGGGAGCGCGCACGCGGCTCGGACGCGGGCGGCGGGGCTGGGTTCGGGGAGGGCGATCGCGGCGGGGCGGCGTGTGTTTTTTCGTGTTGGAGAGTGCGCAACCGGCCGGCCGCCGGCGCGCTGCGCCGCGCCGCGCTCAGGCGCGTGGCCGAGGAGGATTTTGGGGTCTCGATTGGGAGCCTCCCCTTCGCTTTCTCCATCATCTTCCCGCAAACTGCTCAAACACGTCTTCTGCCCTTCGTGATCAAAAAGAATGTGACCACAAAGAAATATTTTATTCACATCATTGGTTTCAATTGGGAAATTCTGCAGATCTCCCACCAGCTGAACGAGCTGCTGCCCCCACCCTTCGTGCCCCCTTCACCTTGCCCCCAAACCCAGCACCCCCTGCTGTCACGATCATTTTTCAATTGGACTCCCAACAACAGGTCATCTGCCCTCTATTATCTCAATCACAACATTTCAGTATTTTGTCTCCCAGAAACCACGTATTTCGCCCTCTGTTGTCTCAATTGCATCGTCCCTCTGCCTCCCACGAAACCCAGGTCTTCCACCAGCTGGACGAGCTGCTGCCCGCCAGCGGCGTCCCCTTTGACGATCTGGTGGCGGTGGCGCTGCTGCTGTTCTTCGGCATCAGCACCCTCAAGGTGCGCCCTTGTCGAGGCTTTCGAGGTTGTGGCGGTTTCGAGGTTTTTGAGTTTCTTGGGGTTGTGACGCTTCGAGGCTGTTGAGGTTGTGACTTTGCAGAGGTTTTCGGCGTGTTCGCGCTTTGAGGATTCGTCTTTGCAGCTGGTTCCCGCCTGAAGCGCCTGCATGCGGCGCGTCAGCGCCGGGCGCGAGGCGGTATGTGCGAGGAACGATGCGTGCGCGGCCGCGGCCTGGTGGGCGCAGCGGCGGCGGCGCGGCCCAGCCCCGCTGCCTGGCGCCCGCCTGCGCCGCTGCCGCGGATCTCTCGAGAGCGGCCTGGCCGGCCGGCCACGCGCCGCGCCGCGCCGCGCGGTAAGGGCGCATGCAGACAAGCACACCTGCACACCTTTGAGTAAACAACACGCACTTTCGCGCGCACGCGCGCGCGCGCGCGCACACACACACACACACACACACACACACACACACACACACACACACGAATGCACGTAAACCTCCAACCCGCGCGCAGGGCGCCGCCGATGCGGACGCGCGCGCGGCCGAGGAGAAGGAGGAGGCCGGGGAGGTTGTCTCGTCCCTGGGTGTCGCCGGCACCAGCGCCCTCGTGGCCTCGACCTTCGGCCTCGTGTTTGCGGCGGAGTGGGGGGACAAATCCTTCCTCGCGACCATCGCGCTGGCGGCGGCCTCCGACCCCGCGGGTGCGCGTGGGTTGCGATTCCCGGCCGCGGGTTTCGATGTGCGCCCGCCCAGCCGCTCTCGCCGCCGCCGGCCGCGCCGGCGCGGTTGCGCAGCGGGCGAGTCTGCGCGTTGGCGTCGCCCTCCCCTGGCAAGACGAGCAGCTGGGCCCCTTCCCCCAAGAGAGCGCCCCGTCAGCAGGCAGCCAGCCTGGCCTTGATGCCATGCCCACCTCTGGCTGGTGGGGCAAACAAAGGGCTGGTTGTGCACGTGCACAGGCCCCGAGCCTCCCGCAACCGACACATGCATTTGCACCCTCTCGATTCTCTCTGTCTCTCTCACGCACACACACACACACACACACACACACACACACATATCCGCACACCGCGGCGCCCCGCAGGCGTCGTCGCGGGCGCGGTCGCGGGCCACGGCCTCGCGACCGGCATCGCGGTGGCGGGCGGGAGTGTCTTATCCAAGTACATCTCTGAACGCACCGCAAACTACATTGGAGGCAGCCTCTTCCTCGTCTTCGCGGCCGCCACGGTCTTCGACATCGTCACCGGCGCGCACGGCGGGTGACCCGGCGATCTGGCGATCTGAGCGCTGATCTGCACAGTCGCGCCCGCGGAGGCATCAGGCCTGGTCGGGCGGCGGCAGAGGGTCCCGTGGTTCTGCCAAACCCCCCGTCTGCGGCGGCAGGGGTGCAGCAGTCCAGCCTGGCAGTTGTGGTGCGCGGTCGAAGCCAGTGTTTCGGGCGCTGCCAGGGGCGCCAGCGAGGCCCGGCGCCGCAGCTCGCGCAGGGTGCGGGGCAAAGCAGCAGGTTTTTGTCTCACGGCACGGCCACTTCTATGCGATTCAGTTGTGGCCCTCAAATGATGCAATTTCCTTGAACAACCGGTGCACCTGTGATTTTTGGGTGGTGGTTTTGTATTTCCTGGCGCCCACGCTTCCCGGCCGTGCGCGTGCACCCAAAGTCTGCGCAGCGCGCCGCTGCGGGCGCTGGTGGGTGCAAATTCACGGCCCGCGCAGAGTTCGCCATGGGTGGCACATCGTTTTGTGGGGCCAGGGCGGCGTGCACGGTGCGTGTAACTCGCCGCTGCGCCACGCAGGCAGGGAAAGGCTGCTGGCTGTGAGTGCCGGCTGCAGCGGTGCGGGTGTCTCTTAGAGGGGTTGTTGCGCCAACGCGGCAGAGAGGAGAAGGCGTTGGCGTGGACGCAACCATTCCTCCTGCTGCCATCGGGATGGCTGGGGCGTGGCCGCCGTTCACTCAACAAAGGGGACTTGCAGTCGAAGAGTCATGCTCTGGCGTCCTGTCATGACGTATTTATTGCGATGTGTGCCCGTGGCAGTAGCAGGCAGGCGCGGTCAAAAAGTACGTCACCCGACGCTGACATTGACCACAAGTTTGACCTAAGAATTTTTTTCATGCTGCACCCCGGAAGCAGTCATGTCAGCGAAGCTGTGCACATTTTTGATTGCGAACTGCAACTTATTAAACACACAACGCCTCGTGAGTTGTCAAGACCACAGAAAGCAACGGAGCACCATGGGTTGCGCTCAGATCATCATTCGCGTGCTGCAGGTGCGCCCTAGTCGTTTTTAAAGATTTGGTCACATGTTCCACTGTCCAGGCCCGCGTTGACCAGGATTTGATACACAGAAAATGCGCGCGGGTGTTCCTTTGTTGGCGAGTCTGTTGAAGCATGGGTATGCATACAAAATGGTTTGATTGAATCATGTTATGCTATCAATGGCGATGCGCAGCTGGTCACCTCGCTGGCGACCATCGGCAGCGCGATCGCCGTCATGCTGTTCTTCGGGCCGTTCTCCGCCCTGATCGGCGCCATTGGCCTCGGCGTCTTCGCCGGCTTCACTGGCGCGCTGGTGACGATCCTTTTCATGGCGGGCTCCTGCTGCATGTGCATCAGGTGTGTGTCGAGTGTGCGGTACCACCTCCCATGTGCCAATGCAAGCAGCGACTCATTACCATTGACCAGCCTTTGACCACCCATGCCCATGCTCGCCACGGATGAGCGAACTAATCTCTAAATTTGTTATACCCTGTGCACCCCGTCCACCACCAGGCGCATCAACGGCATCGTCGAGTGCGTCATGTCTGCGATCTGGGCCGCATTCTACCTGCCAGTCGGCGCCCAGATGGCCGTCACCCTCTCCGCCGGCGTGTGCGCGGCCGGCAGTGCCGCCGCGACGCAGGCCGCTTCAAACGCGCCGGCCAGCGCCCTCATAGCCGGCACCACACAAGTCGCCAACGCCCTCCTCGACGCCGCCGCCGCCGCGGTCGCCAGCTCCGGCAACCGCCGGCTGCTGCTGGGTGCCGCGGCCAGGCGCGGCCTGCTGGAGCAGGGGCTGCCCGGCGACATCGGCGACATACTGAGCCAGGCGCTCTGCGCCGCGTCGATCGCCCTGACCGTCTGCGGGTTCCTGGGCTTTGTGCTGTACGCGGTGGGCGCCGTCCTGGCCTTCAGATGCGACGCGATGAAGGGCACCGGCCTCTGGGTCCCCAAAGGTGAGTGCGAGCGAGTCGTGCGGGCCTGTCATCTACCCTTAGTGCGCTCCATCCCACGCCTCAACAGACACGGTCGCTGCTGGGTTTGCCAGGCGTACGTGCACGGCATTCTGCTTGCAGGAATTTTGGGATCGCGTGCGTTGGCCTTTCCAGGGCCGGGATTGAACGCCGGCTTGCACAACACCACAACTATGCACACGCCCCTTCCCCCCTCCCCTAACAAGTGTGAAGGCCGCACTTATCTCCGACCAAAACGCACTCCTGCCTCGCTCCTTGACCTGCCCCGCAGGCGCCCGCACCGCCGCGCCCACCGAGGCGCCCAGGGGCGGGGCTGCTGCGGTGCCGCCCCCGAGCTAGTCGCGCCGAGAAAGGCGTTCCTGTGGACGAGCACTACCCGCGTATATTTGCTCAAGCGCTGGCCTGTTTTGGGCACGCGCATAAGGACAGGCACGTCTCATGCGCTTGCCGTGGTATGCCTCACGAAGCTGAAATCATTCGAAGCCGCAGCCATGGGGCCTCGCCGAGGCTGCTGCGTCGCAAGGCGCAGCGATGGCGGGAAGTGGGTTTAATGTGCGTAACCTGCGGCGGCCCTCGCCAACGGAGCGCGCCGTCCCTTTCAACGGAGGCGCATGGTTTCTAGTGGGGCATCGGTTCCCAAAACCTGAGGAATTCGCAATGACGTTTATTGACTACTTCACCTTGCTGAATTTATACAAAAATTGGTCTTCTTGGCTCTGGATCTGCTCGTGCCAGCTTCATTGGGAGCCAAGTGGGGGACAACACAATTTTAGATTCTCTCACAGGCCCTCAAAACTCATTTGACGCCTTTCCTCCAACATCTCACTTTTACGTGCTTTTGAACGCACTTTCTTGTGTAGCAGCGCACATCAAGGTAAGCAAACAGCAGCCACGTCATCATGGCGGCGGCCACGCGCGGCCACAGCCACAGCCCACATGCTCATCAGGCTGCTTGATATATATCTTGGCCCAAGGCGTGTACGCATGGGGCACGAATGCTCTGGTACGCGCGGCTGTCGACCCACCATTATCCTCACAAGTGACGGCTTGCGTGCTCAAGACGGCAGCTTCATTCTGGGCAGCAAAAATACCATGCGCATGCGGCTGCCCCAGGACCGATGTGATGCACACGCCGCTGCTGCTGTAAATCCAAACGGGTTGACACCACGCATCCGTGTTGCTCGGCCCAGTGCTGCTGCAGGCGGCGCGGGCGCCTCGAGCAGGCGGCGTGCCCGCCTGCCGCGCCCTCCTCTCTCATGCCCTCGTCCACGCAGTGCGCAAGGTCCGCGCGTCCAGCGGTGCAAGCCCATCACGCTAGGAAGCCGTAGTTTACAGCAGGAGACCCGCGGCACAGCCGCAGCACGGCAGCAAGACAGCCGGCACAATCGGCATGCAAAGCTGCCGGCCTTTTGCCACGCACGCACCTCAACAAGCGCCAAGTCCACCCAGTGGCCGCCACCCGTGTAGTGGCCGCAAACAGCATCACAGCAAGCCGATGGCTGCAACATTCCGCACAAGGCAGTGCCCGCGCCCTGCACGATTCTGGGCAAGGGTGGGTGACCCTGCTGTCTCGATCACTCAATACACTGACACGCTCGCCGGTCCCGCGCATCAGCGAGACACATCCACCTCGAGTGCACAATCACCCTCCGTCACATCATGAGATGATTTCCAAGCGGGCGGGCCGCCTTGACAGACCTGCCCCTGCCGACCGCCAAACAACACTCACATCCCACTGCATGCCATACAGCATTGCCCGGGCCAGGGCTCGTCTCGCAGGACGGGCCCAGGGGCCTGCTACACCCATGTGTGCGGGCCTACTCCTTTCTCGCCTCATCATGTACGTGGCGACGGTTGCCTGCCTGGCGGTTTGTAAAAGAAAAGGCGGCGCCGAGGCGCCGTGGAGGGAGGGGTCAGTCGACTCACGCCCTGCCTGAGACGGATTATGTGAGAGGGAGCGCGCAAAAAAAACAGCGCGAGCAGACTGCAGCTGGCAAAGCAGCAGTGACAATGGCGTGTGTGCTCCTTTGTACAACACCCATGCTGCATGGAACGAGGGGATGCGATGCGCAGGCTGGTGGGCACATACAAACAGGAGTCTGAGATGGCGCTGATGACGCGGCTCGGGCTGCGACGTCGTGCAGGGAGCGATCGGCAAGCGCCCGCTGCAGCTCACCATCTCGACAGGCGGGTCCTCCTTGTCTGTTGTTGCGTATGCGTGTGCCTCCTTGGCCAGCTGTGAGAGATAGCAGCGGGATATCCGATGACGTGGACAGATCACCATTGACGCCTATACCTAGAGCGCACTCTGATCACACACTGTGGCGCTCCGGGATTGCTTGACGTGATGGAATCCGGGCCACATACGGGCGAGCCTCGCGTCCCGGAGCGATCCAGCCATCACCGACACTGGCCACTGCCCGCTCTAAACACCCACCTCCTGCGCCTTCTTGGCCTCTGCCAAGTCGATAGATGTCTGATGCGGCGGCTCCTCGCCGGCCGTGGCCTTGGCCATGTCAAAGGGAAGACTGCTCATGGCTCTTGTGGGGCAGGTTGTGCGCAGAGCGCGAGTATTTGTGCTGGGTTGTGTGAGGTTGAGGAATGATTCACGTGGGATTGCTCTAAGACGGAACAAGAAAGTGACCGGCTTTAGCTAGGCAGCGGCAGCAGAGCGGGTGGGCGCTAGAAGCTGCTGTCACACGGCCGGGCCCTGCAAGAAGCGATTTCTGAAACTGTTGGGGGTAGCTGATGCGGTCAGCAATCATGGACATTAACAAAGGAAGCCGCAGGTAGGGAGGTTAACAAAGCAAGCTAGGGTGCTCATGTGGCTAGTGCTCGCCTGGGGGTAAGACAGCGAGATACCAGTAGCGTGCCGAACAACAGCAACAGCTTGAAGGGGTGAAAGAGCTATGCGGTGTGGCTGATTGTAGCGAGTGTTATCAATGTGGTTTCCAGCAAAGTTCCGTCATTGATAATGGGCTTTGGTCAGAATTGGGCTCATCGAGTCAACTCAGGTGTCCCTGCTCCAGGTACTGTACACACATAGGCTGGGTGCCCGGTGTTACTGCTGCATATGATCGCGCTTTACATGATTTTCCACAATCTCCTGCCCGGCAATGGCCGCATGCAAAGCCAACCTGACGAATTTCAAGCGCTTCATCAGCTGAGCAGCGAGCGCGCCGTTGCGGTGTGATGAGTGACGCGCACACAACTGCGTTCGTGTGTGTCCATCCTTTGATCACGAAGACTTGTTGATTTGCTGATTATAAGCACAGCTCTTGACCACGCGCCACTCCCTAAAGTCGCAACAGTGCAGGAAGGGATCGCTCAGCTCTCCCCGGGGCCGCCTGTGTGTCTGCGATGGAGGGCTTTGGTGACGCACCCGTGAGTCCAGGGGTTGAGCAAGGGAGGGGGGCAAGGGGTGGTTGATCTATCGCGGTGGTCTTGATGAAACGCTGGCTGGATGGATAGTTATTGGTCTTAAAATGATAACGGAGACCTCGCGGATGGGGTGGCCCCTGTTTCTGGGCTCGAGGTCGGATGCGCGCCGGCATCCGCTGCGTTGCTGCAGCAGCGCCCGAACGCCGCGCTCCTCGCCCTCGCTGCCGCTCGCTGCAGGCCGACGGAGGCAGCAACCCATTTGACACGGTGAGCGCCCGGCGCGCCGCCCGCCCCGCGGCGCCGCCGTGCCGCGCGCCGCCCCTCCGAGGCCGATGCAGCCGGCCTGGCCTGCATGCCGACGCCCGGTCGCAAACCGCCCCCATGTAATCGCAGGGCTTCGATGACACCCCCGCCCCCAGCGGCCTGGATGCCTTCGGCGGCCCCGCGCCCCCCGCCGCTGCGCCCCTAGACAACGGCTTCGCCGCTTTCGGTGCCGCCCCCGAGGCGCAGCCCGCCACCGCGTTCGCGCCCGCGCCCGCGGCCGCCTCCGGCGGCGGCGCGCCGCCTCTGGATGACGACTTTTTCGGCGGCGGCGGCAGCGGCGGCGGCGCGCCACCCCCGAGCAACAGCAACGGCGGCGCGGCGCAGGTGCGGCGGCGGTCCGCGGGCGGTTTTGTGTATGTTTGGTCTGGCGTGCGTCGCGAGGGCTGCGGGGCGCCGGAAGGGGGCGACGATGGGCGATAAGAAGCAGCGATATGGGAAGCAGGGTGGCGGCGGCGTGGCAATGGGCAGCGTTGGATTTGGATACACCGCTTAGAGACCATCGCTCGTCTGTTGGCAGAGGGCTGCCGAGGGGCGAAATAGGGGCCGCTTCCCAGGGGCGCCCTCCACCAGAGTGGGGCGGCCCTCCACCAGGCTTGAGAGGTGCGATGGGAGGGGATGAGACGAGCACCAACGCGCGCTTACGCACACGCGTAATTGACGCCCCCCGCTCGGCAGGCCGCGTTTGAATCTCCGAGGTTTGACGACCCGAGGATCGAGTGGAACCACAAGAACCAGTCGCTGCTCGCGCAGAGGGCGCAGGCGGAGGTGAGCTAAACCCTTGCTGCCTCGATCTGGTGATCTGACGATCTGGCGATCTGGCGGTCTGTGACCTGGCGGTGTGGTGGTGCCGCCGCGGCCTGGGCGGGCGCGGGGCGTCCTGAAGGCGGCGCGGGCGCGGGCGCGGGCGCGGGCGCGGGCGCGGCGGCCACAGCGCGGTCGCGCAGGGGGGCATGGCGCCCGCTCGGGCGGCCGCCGCCGTCGCGCCGGACTCCCCCTCTTCGTGCATGAGCCCCGCCCTTTCCCCCCTACCTCTTCTATCACCAACCCCTTTCACACAAATGTTTAACCGGTCGCTGAACCTTCTTCCCTACCCCATCCCACTCCCACCCGGCTCCCAGTACACAGCCCCAAACCCTCTACGAACCGAACGCCTCCACAATCCTTGTGATGACGCACCCGCTGCCGCCGCCGCCGGGCCTCACCCATAGCCGGGACCCACCCCTCAATCTGCAAACCCCAGGTGAAGGCCAAGGCGGAGGTGGTCAACAAGGCAAAGGCCTTCCTTGACAAGCAGGCCAAGGTGCGCGACAGCTGTTCACCGGCCGTTGACCGTTGTTTGACCGGCCGTTGACCGGCCGTTGACCATCACCATTGGCCGCACCGCCAGACGGCAGTGCACATCGGCTGGTGCTGTGCAGGGCGTGTGTGTGTGCTCGATGCGCGTATGCTGCGGTTACAGGCAGGTGCACTGAGAGCAAGTGGCCGAACGCGCGGCGCCAGGCGACCGCAGCCGGCTTTCTACCAAAATGACAACGTTACAATGGCAGCCAAGCGTCGCGCTCACCCTGCCCTTGCCCCTTACGATTTAAACCCAGTAATGTTGCCAACTTAGTATCTCGTCCGCCGATCCCTCCCTCAACCACACCGCCAAGCTGACCTGCCCGCCGCTGAGTACGCTGTAATTACACGCGCGCGCGCGTGCGCGCACGTGCACACACACACATACACACACACACACACACACATTCACACCCCACTCCCCACCCACCCACCTATCCACCGA